CAGGCGCGGGCAAGGAGGCCATCAAGCGTAAACACTTCTTAGGTTATCTTATGCCTTTGGTCAATTTCCAGAGCACAGAAATGGTGGTTTTGTCCAGCTTTCTAGTTGCCTTGCGAGGTGAGGATTTGTCTACCGCATCAGTCAGCCGTAGCCAAACCCCCTTTCATTATCCATTCTTTTTACCACTGCTTTCAAATGTTCTGCTCCTTGTCTCACTATGTTTCCAGCCTAGTAATTCTCTTTCTGGCTTTTTGGCTGTGTTTTACCTGCTATTTAACCTATATTGCATTTGATTTATTCAAGAATGCTATTTTTCATCTCTAGTCACTCAGTTTTCCTCCCCCACCCCCCCAGATTTGCCTGTTTATTCCTGATGGTTCTTTTATTGCATGCCCTGTAGCACAGCTGTGTTCTCTGACAATTCCAGTACCTGCTGTGCGTCGTGTCTGCAGACTCCCATTCTCAGTGGCCTGCCTTCTCGTGTGTTTTGTGATCTTTGTGTGTGAGCTCAGGACTTGATCCCAACCTGAGGGAGTTCCCGCCTCGGGAGGGGAAAACTTCTTCCAGAAAGGACTTGCTTCTACTTCCGCCAGGAGCCAAAGGGCACCAACCACCAGAGACCACCAGAGCCCTCTAGAAGAAAGGGGTGTGCAGGGGTGGCACTGCCGCTTGGGCCCGTGGGGGACTCAGGGAGCGCAACCTGGTTATCGGCTCCTCATCACAGGCCCAGGCTCCGGAGCCCAGTAGTTGGCCCTCCTACTACCCTTCTGGCCTCAGTTCGTCCCTTTTTTGTGGACCTCCCCCACTTCTCTGAGGCCCAACAGTGCCTCAAAATTGTATCCTCCGGAGGATAGAATTGCTCTCTAGTGGGAGGGCCCTACCGAGCACTTTAGCAAAAAGCTAAAGTACGAGAAGCTGAAGTCAAAGTGAACATTTTCTGAGCTTTGACTCTATGTCCCATCCTCTTCTGAGCGCCTCACGTGAGTGAAGTCCCCTCAGACCTCGCAGTAACCCCACCAGGTGTATACTGTCGTGCCTCAGGGTGACATTCGCCTGCTTGTTCTCTCTCAGTAACACCCAATAACTCTCTCACACATGACATATTCTACTTTTGCTTATGTCTGCGGCCCCGGTGGAACCCGAGCTCACTCTGACTGCTGTGGGAACAAGCCGTAGGCAGGGGGAGTACGGCCAGAGCCCCGCTTGGAGCCTGCCGCCCTGTCCAGGTGAAGGTGGGGGGTGCCTCGGTCTAGAGTGCTTAGTGGCAGGGCTAGTGAGAAGTGGTTGCATTCAGGACCTGAGCAATCAGGATTTACTGCTGGTTTGGATATGCAGCATAAGGGAATGAAAGGGGTCAAGGATGACTCCTTTTGTCATCTGGGCGAGTGCGTAAGGGGGTGAGGTGGGGGACACTGGAAAAGAGGCAGATTTGGGGGATGGGAAGTGAGAGCTCAGATTTGGATATGTTAAGTGTGTGATGCTAGTTAGCTCCCCAAGGAGAAACAGGACAGGTGGATAGGAACCTGGAGTTCAGGGGCTAGAAATGAGAATATGGAAGTCGTTGGCTTATTGGTGCTAATTAAACCCATAAAACTGGGTGAGATCTCTTAGGGACTAAAGGAGATAGAGAAGACCAAGAAGTTCTAGGGAGGGTGGGTTGCATTGGGGAAGGTTATTGCTGTAGTCTAGGAAAAAGATGAAGTCTGAACCAGGGAGGCAGCCATGGGCACTGAGCAGGGGACAGGTCATAGAAAAGTATGGATAGAAGCGCCTGGCTGGCTCAGTCCCTAGAGCGTGCAACTGTTGGTCTCAGGGTTCTGAGTTTGAGACACATGTTGGGCACAGAGATTACTTTAAAAAAAAAAAAAGAAAAGCATGGATAAAAAAACTGGCAGGATATGAAGCCATGTCCCCTCCAAAGCCTTCCCTGACAACTGTCTCCTGCTATGTGTTCCTTTGGGTTGCTCCCACAGTTCCCATGCCCACGTGGCATGAGGGTGGTCGGCTTCCCCAGAGTTCCGAAGAGGCAGAGTCAAATGTTCCTCTCCTGTCCCTAGTCCCCTATGCAGAGGACAGGGCCAGCAACTGTTAGATGGACGAATAAGGGAGTGAATGGGTGCCACGCTCCCTTCTCCCCTCCCAGCTCCTATTAAGGAACCAAAAAAGATGATGCCCAAATCGGCCCTCCCTACAGTCAGGAAGCTGGTGACAGCCCCTACTGGGCCCAGCAAAACCAAGTAAGGAGTGGGGTGGGGGTGGGGGAAGGAGGAGGGTACAAAGGAAATGCTGTTCCCTGACCCCACCTCCTGGTCTGATGGGAATATGTTCCAGGCCTTCTTGGACACCCAGTCAGAAGCGCCCCTCCCGAGACTCGGGTAGGTCTCGTTGCCTCCCACAGTGGGGAAGGAATGGGGGACAGGGATAAGGGTGGTTGTGCTGAAGGACAAAGATGGGGAGAGACTTGGGGTCAGAGGAGCTTGGACCCCTGAGGTTCTGCTCTCATAGGCTCCGGCAGCAGCATCCTCAGCGGGGGTCCAGCCCACCCTGGTAGAAAGGGATCAAAAACCCAGGCTTCCCGGCAGCGCTCTGCAACCAGTCAGGTAAGAGGCCCTGAGACACCGGGACCACTGGGCAGAGTCTGGTTCCCAGGGCTATGGTTGTGAAGGGTGAAGGATCCCAGGCCAAGGGGAGCCTGACTCAAACTGTCAAGGTACCCATCCCTCAGCTGAGACCTCACCCCCATCACCACAGGAGGAAGAGCAGAGCAGCCTAGCAAAGGCCTCTCCTGTGAATAAAACCCCCACTCTGGACAAGACCCCCAGCCCAGAGAAGACTCTGTCTCCGGATAAGGCCCCCACTCCAGAGGAAACCCTGACTCCAGATAAGGTCACCATCTCCGAGGAGGCCCTGACTCTAGAGTTCAAGACCCCAGCCCCAAAGATCCCCACCCCACAGGACGGCCTGACTCTAGACAAGGCTCCCAGCCCACACAGCCTCATTTCTGTGGATGAGGCCCCTGCCCCAGAAGTCCCACCAGAGGATGAAGTCCTTGGCCCAAAGATGGTCTCTCCTGGGGATGAGGCGCCCACCCTAGAAAAGGTCTTGACCCCTGAGCAGGTGCCCTCCGAAGAGGCCTTCAGTAGAGACAACACTCAGTTCCATCACTTCTCTCCTGAGCAAGCCCTGCCAAAGTTCAAGTCTCCTGTGGCCAATGAGGCTCAATCCCAAGAGGTCCACATGCCAGAGGAGCCCGATCTCTGCATGATGACACACCCTCTCGATCAGAGGGACAGCTCCCCATTCCAGTCTAAGTCCAAGCCAGGGTCCATGCTTGCCCTTGAGAAGGCTACAACTCTCCTTGAGGAGGCACCTGGGAAGCATGAGGGTACCCCGGAAGAGGAGGCACTCCCCAAAGAGCAGGTGTCCCCCAAAGAGGTAGCCCCTGCCCAAAAGAATCCTCATTCTATCAAGTCGACTGCAGACCCCCAAGAGACTCCCACTCTACTTTCCCTCGTCCCGCAAAATCTCACGGACAGCAAAAGTGACAGAGGCGATATAATGAGGCTACAGGACGAAATGGAATCTTTAAGGAGGTCGCTGGAGTGGATGGGGGTGCAGCTGGAGTAAGTGGGGAGGGGGAGGGGCGTGGGCTGGGAGGGGGCCGGGGGCTCTAAGCCTGCCCAGCCCACCCCTCCCCCTCGGCCTCCCGTCCGCAGGAGGAAGCTGACCGACATCTGGGAGGAGCTGAAGAGCGAGAAGGAGAAGCGCCAGTTGCTGGAGGTGGGTGGGGTGCAGATCCCAGGGGGCTGGAGGCTGGCCCTCCCCTGGCGGCCTGTTCTCAACGCCCTCTCCCGACTAGGTGCAGATGAAGCAGGGGACTCAGGAGTCCCGGACCCGGGGCTCCATCCACGCGCAGACGCAGACGCACTGAGGGTGGGCCCGGAAGGGACCACCGCGGGACCTGGGGGCAAGTCAGGCTCCGGCCTCCCACGTCCTAGCACGCGACTCTGAGAAACGCAAGAAAGTAAACTGCTGTGTACGCGCTCGCCGCGCCTGCCTGGTCCGTGCGGGGGCGGGGCCTGCGGGGCGGGGGCGGGGCCGGCCGGGCGCTCCGGGCCCTCCGCATTCCCGGCGGTCTCTCCCGGGCACATCTGGCCAACATGTGGCTCCCATTACCGTTCCCAAGGCCTGCGCGCGTCTATTTTTATCCACCGGATGGCGGGGGCGGGTGGGGGGGGGTGTCTCCTTCGGACGTCTGCCTGGTGCTGGAGAAATGGCCGGCAGGAGAGGCCCAGGCGGGGTCGGGCTCTGCCCGCGGGCCCGGATTCCGGAATCCAGCTGTGCGCCAGAGGAGGTGGGCGGGCCTGCTCTCGAGCCGGGACCCCTCCCAGTTGGCCCCACAGTCCGCTCGGAAGGACTCGCTGGAACGCAGCTCTGCTCAGAAACGAACTCCATAGCCCCCCTCTGGCACACACGGTTAACGCGGGCTAATAGTGCCTTAATAGTGCCTTAGCGTCAAGGGCAGGGTCCCGCCTGGTGTGTGTGTGTGTGTGTGTGTGTGTGTGTGTGTGTGTGTGAGATTGCAATGTCCCGGGGCCTGGTGTGTGTGTGTGTGTGTGAGAGAGAGAGAGAGATTGCAATGTCCTGGGGCCTGGTTGTGTGTGTGTGTGTGTGTGTGTGAGATTGCAATGCTGCAGGATCCCAGAGCATTCGAAGAACAGGGGCAAAGTGCGCCCAGGCCTTCGTCGGGAAGGAATGCATTTGTGAGGAAGGAATGCGAGTGGTAACTTGTTCTGTGCGTGAGGCTGTGAGGTGGTGGAGTGTTTTTTCAGTCTGTGAACTGAATGCAAGCATGTATGCTGAGGTGTTGGGTGGGTTGATAGAGGTGGTCAGCCTGGTAAAAGAGTCGAGTGGGGTCTCAATCTGGGGCCCCCTGCACGGCAGGAGCCTGGAGGACACTGGGGACAAAAGTAACAGAGGGAGACTGAGTCACTGAGAATGCAGTTTTCATTGGTCATCTCTTAACCGATCCCACGAAAGGGGCTGGGAACCCTGTGTCCTGTCCCCCACGGGCTTTGTGGCAGGACTGGGTATCCCAGAAGGTGGGGATCCAGGCCCAATAGCACTGGGGGAGCTGTGGGGGCGGGGCCTCCATAGCACCGTGGGCAGGGGCAGTCCCAAGGTCCTGGGGCAGCTGTGAGTTCCTGCGCATGTCCAGTATGCAGAGCTCTTTGCAGTGGAAAGGGGCCGGTCAGTAATAGTGCATGCGACCCAGGGTGCCTGTGGCCGTGGCGCTGGGCCCCAGCGTGCCGGTGCCCAGCAGGTCCGGCTGCCCGGTGCGCCAAATCTCCCTCAGGATCCGTTCCCGCTCCTCCAGGCGCTGCGCCCGCTCCAGCTCCTCTGCCGACGTGAAGACGTTGACGCTCAGCGGCCCGTCTGGCTCGGCGCTCAGCTCGGGGCCCGGCAGCGTGTCGTCGGGGCCCAGCCGGGTCACCGTGTCCTCGTCGTCGTCGTCGTCGTCGTCCTCGGGCTCCAGGGTGCTGCCGCGGGGGTCCCGGCGCTGCGCAGGGGCCCGGGGCCGCGGGCGGGGCGCACAGGAGATGCTGATGACTAGTAGACACAGGGTCAGCAGCAGGCCAAAGCAGACTCCCAGCACGAAGTAGAGGCCAAAGCTCTCGGGGTTAGCTGGGGGTCAGAGGGCAGAAGTCATGGAGGAGCCCTGGCTCCCTGGCGGGTGGGAGTTACTCCATACTCCAGGTTCTAAGTTTTGGGGGGGCAAGGACAGTACTCCTTATTTGAAAGACATTAGGTAGGCGCCATCGGGCAGTGAGGGACGGGGAGGATGGGGCAGGGAGGTGGGGAGGGAAGGGGTGGAGTGGGGCGCATGCCCCCCCGGGGCCCGCCCTCACCGCGGATGTGTGCGTAGGCCGCCAGGCTGTTGCTCAGCAACTCCATGTCCCTCCGTGGGGCATCCATGCTGCTCTGGGGACGGAGGGGCACCCCCCCTGTCAGCCTGCGAGGTCAGCAAGGTCAGATCCCACTCCCCAGCCCAGAGCTGATCCTGACCCCGCTTCCTCCGGGTAGCTTCCCTCGCTGGAAGCGCAGCCCCAGCGTCCGCCCTGGAGAGAGCAGCTCCCTAACTTTGTTAAAGACCTGGGCCCTGCCCTTGGGGGCGGGGATCCTTGCCCTGGGCGCAGACGTCCCTCCAACTTGAGGGGTCAGGGAAGTGGGCCGCAGGAGGCTCCGCCCCCTTGTGGGGTCCCCAAATGACGCCCGGTTTCGGCGTCCCGGTAGTGGGATGGAGGAGCGAGAGGCGAGTGCCTTCCCCACTCCCAGGGCGGGCTCCGGGGAGGGGAAGCCGCCTCCCTCTCCCATCTGCCCGCCACGCCGGGACCCACCGGCCCGGAGGCCCGGGCTCACTCACCGTCAGCGCCCCTCTTCCCCGCTCCCGGCCCCGGCGCGTCCGGCGGCTGCATACACCCGGGACCCGGCCGCTCCCACCCAGTCCGGTCCCGGCTGCCCCGCCTGCCCCGCTCGGCTCCCAGGCCGCGGCAGCGCGGGCCGGACACGGGCCGATGGACCAGCCGGCGGAAAAGTTTCCGCGGAGGAAAGAGGAGGGGCGGGGCGGGGCGGGGCGGGGGGGAGGCGGGGAGGAAAAGGGCCGGGAGAGGAAGGGAAGAGGAGCGAGTGACTGGGAGGAGGGGGAGCGAGGCCGGCGGGGCCGTCTGCTCTCCCACAGGAAACCGCTGGGGAGGCCGGTGGCAGGGTCCCGCCCCCAAGCTACTAATAACAAAAATAATAGTAAGGATGAAGTTCTGCCTAGGTGCCAGGCCGTGTGTGTGTGTGTGTGTGTGTGTGTGTGTGCGCGCGCGCGCGCCCTTTGTAATATTCTTTCACTTAATTCTAACCACCCTATAAAGTGAGTGCCATTGTCGCCACTTGACAGATAAGTAAAATGAGTCACGGAGAGATTGAATAATTTGACCAAAGGGGCAGGATTTGAACCCACTGCTCTTTGCCCCTTGAGCCCGGGGCTCTTAACCCCTTCTCTACACCTTGCTTTTCCTCCCGGGAGGCCCCCTCCACCCAGGGAAGACTGCCCCTCTTCTTCAGTCCTGCCCCAGATGTCAGTTTACGACAGAGGGGCTCTCCTCCTTCCTCCCAGGGCTCCGGCTGGGAGAGCTCCTGGCACACACGGTTAGTGAATGTCGGACCGGAGCTTAGAGCCAGGAGCAGGCCAGCCTTGCAGAGCTCAGCCTGGAACTTCCGCCGCCCCGGTGCTCCGCGCGGAGCCGGCCGCAGAGACGCATTTGCCCCTGGCTAAACCTGCCAGTGCGCGCGCATCCGTTGCCACCTGGGCTCGGCTTGGACGGGCAACGCGTTCCGTGATCCATGTGTGCGGCCTGGGTGATCTTCCTGCTCAGACTCTCAGCACCCCCCCCCCGCCTTTCTGGGCCCCCCTTCCTGCGCTGGGGCTTGGGTGAGGGGGAGGCCTTCTTGGCGGGAGCCTCAGAGAGGAGGAGGGAAGGAAGGGGGAGAGGAAATTGCAGACATAGCTGAAGGCGCGGCCTGAGGCCTGTGGGCCAGTGACCCCCACCCCCACCCCCGTGTGTCCAGGCTGGAGACCCCCCACTTCCAGTCCTGAGACTGGGTTCAAGCAGAGGGCAGATGGAGATGGAGAAAGGACAGACCAGTTCCCACGGGGATGGGAAAGGACCCCCGGGTGTCGCTGTGACTGTTGAGTCTGTTTTGTGAGCGCGGGCGGAGGCATTTCTGCCTCTGTTTGTGTGTCTACTTTCGTGTTGTATCATCTGCTGGAGCGTTTGTGTGGGGGCGGCGAGCGCTGCGTGTCAATCCCTACCGCGGCCCGTCCCCAAATGCTACCTCCCGGGAATGGGGGCTCCGGCGGGAAACAGGACAGACACAGGCCTCTGCCCTCGTGGAGCCGACTCCAGGGCCGAGAGGCAGTCCCTGAAGAAGGTAGCGTGGGCGCTGCTGAGACGCAGAGGGTGAGGGAACACACCTGCAGGCCGCTCTCAAGGGGGCGCGGGAGGTGACACCCGCATCCTGCCGTGGGGCGCCTCTCTCCCGGGTGCAGGGGAGGGGCGTGGGGGGGGCCGAGGGGGAGCTCCGACGTTACTGTCCGTGCGGTGAGGAGCCCTGAGAGTCTGGGGGGCCGGCGGAGGCGGCGTCCTGTTTCCTGACGCACTTTGGCGAGACCCCGGTGGGGACTCGCGGTAGCAGGCGGCGGCGGGGCGGGAACGGGGAGCGGTGAGGGCCGGGGCCGCGCCCCGGGCTTGGTCCCGGAAGTGCCGCGGAGCAGGTGAAGCGGGGTCAGCGATTCCTGCCTTTGCCTGTGGCTGTGAGGGAAAGAGGTCGCAGGGCCGCCGCTTGACGCTGGGCCTGAGCCCCTGAGGGAAGCGTATGTGGGGTGCAGGTCTGCGGGGTCGGACTTTCCTTTGAGATGTTCATTAGATACCCCGGGGGAGGTGTCAGGCGGGGGACCCCGGGAGGAGTCTGGGCTGGACATGGGTTTGGGAGCCCTCGACACATAAGATGGATAGAAATCCCCGGGAGTGGGTGACATCAGCCTTGGAGCCGGGAGGGACGAGAAGCCGCTGAAGCCCGAGCTCCGGCCGTGCACCCTTGAGGGTTCTCCTGGGGGAGGAGTCAGGAGACACCCGTGAGGTGGGAGGCAGAGCCGGATGCGATGAGGATGAACGTGAGGCCGGAATCTAACCACCGGCTGTGCTATCAGTGGGTTTCCGTGGGCGCATGGATTCTCTGAATGCCTTCCATCCGTGCGAACATCGGGGTGTGCTGCAGCCGTGCTGTGACCCACCTTGTGTCTTGAGGATGTTGTGCCTCGGTCGGGATGGCGCACACCTGGGTCCTCCTTGAGAGGCCACACGCACGCCTCTCTGTATTCATGAGAGCATACAAGGTTCTGGATCGGTCTGTGTTAAGCTGTTGCCGCGCTATGCGGATCTCTGGGTATTGCTAACCTGCTGACATGGGTGTCTGTGCCTTGATGGGTGACGTGTGTGTTGGGAGAGAGTCAGGTGTGACTCAGCCCTGGTGAAGCTGGTGGCCCTGCTGAGCAGAGTGGGTTTTGCGATGCTTACTGGTCCCTTCAGAGACAGGGACACACCAGAGTGTTGCCTTCGCCTAGGGGGATGCATGCGGCCGAGCTAGGCTGGGTGGGAGGAGGAGTAGCCTTGCCCTGGAGGGTTCCAAAGAGGCTGAGGGCTACTCCTGGAGGCCCTGGGGGGTGTGCCTCTGGCCCAGGTGGGTGGGCCCCATGGCCGTCAGGCCCTCCTGCCGACCTGCCGATCGGCTTTTCTGCCTGCCTCGCTCTGCCCTCTCTGCCCGCCAGCCAGTCTGTAGGCATTCCCGGCCACCTGCTTTCCGGTTGTGCTGGCTGGGATCTCGGCATACCCATCACTCGCCTGCCTGGCTTGCATCCCATCTCTCCACCTGCTGATTTTCTCCCTGTCTGCCGGCCTATGACTGACCTGCGGCCCGTCCACCTGCCCACTGGTTGGCTGCCTCTCTGCTCTCCTGTCAGCCTGTGGGACTAGAGATTTCTCACCTTGGGAGGCCCAGAGAGTGATCCTAAGATGAAACTCAGGAAAGACAGGTCTTTTTTATTTTTTTATTTTTTAAAAATATTTTTATTTATTTGACAGAGAGAGAGAGAGAGAGAGCACAAGCAGGAGAAGCAGCAGAGGGAGAGGGAGGAGCAGGCTCCCCGCTGAGCAGGGAGCCTGATGCCAGGACCCTGAGATCATGACCTGAGCCAAAAGCAGATGCCTAACGACTGAGTCACCCAGGTGCCCCAAGACAGGTCTTTTTTAATGAAAAAAGTTAAGACAGGTCTCGGTGGGAGGTCAGGGGGGGCTGAGGGACCCAGAGCCTCTGGGAGGGTTGTCAGGGGGGCTGGAACAGCTCTGCTCCCTTCCTCAGTGGCCAAGCTGGGGGTCTGTTCCTGACACTGGGGCCTTCCCACTGAGGGGTTCAGGGGCTGGCTAGGTCTTAGATGGAGGAAAGAAGGTGACCCACTCATGGCCTCCTTGGACCTGCTCAGTCCTCTGAATGCCTCTCAGCCCCTGGGACAGCTGCTGGGAAGAGGGCCCAGTGAAATTTGCAGAATGAACCATAAGAGTTATGGATATTGAGTGCCCTCCTGGCACCTGGTACTTGGTTGGCTAAGTGCTATGTGCCCTTCATCTTCAGCTCTCCCAGTCACACTGTGCGGGTCGTAGCGGGACTCCCATCTAACAAGGAGGAAAATGAGGCTCAGGGGAAGCATGTTATGTGTGGTCACATGGCTGTAAGGGCTGGGGCCTGGCTCCCAACCAGTCTGTCTTCCACGGGCTGGTTCTAGGTCATGGTTCCCCACCCAGTCAGACCCAAAGCTGCCTCTTCGTGATACTCTGTATTGATCCTTTTATGCTCCTGAAGTGAAATTTGTGGCTAATATAGCCACCTCCGCATCTAATTAAAAGTATAAAGAAATAAAAGGTAATGATATGTACTTGTGATGTGGTCACTCCCTGGGAACGTGACAGCTCGGAGTGCAGACTGGTGCTGGGACATTGCGGTCGTGACAGGGTCGGAAACGGTGAGGTGCTCTTGGTACAGTTCTGAGCAACACAAGGTATAGGTTCCCTCCACTTTGCACAGTAGTTGCATTCCCCAAAGATTCGGTGTATGTTATGTGTCCACCAGTCCTTTGTGTTTATGTATAAAAGGGAGGTAGATTCTTGGCTCTGGTCATTTTAAACACATTTTCACTCACGTTGTGCAGGATGTAGACTCTGCCTTCCTTGTGGGGCTGTCCCTGGCCCCCACCCTCTAAATGCCAGCAGCACCCTATAATTCTGACGCCCCCCCCCCCACCATGGACATACAGAAAAGAGGCCTGCCCTCATGGAGCTCAGCATCTGAGAAGGGAAGGCAGATATAATCAATAATCGGACATATGATATCATACCAGGCTGTGGGAAGCACAATGAAGAAATATAAAGAGGAAACCTTAAGGGGTTAGAGAAGGCCAGGTGTTCAGGACAGCCTCTCTGAGGTGACATTTTGAGCAGAGGGAAGTCAGGGAGGCAGCCATGCAAATTATCTGGGGGAAGAGCCTTCCAGAACTAATAGCCCAGGCAAAGGCCTTGAGGTGGAAGCCGGCCCGGCTCTTTCGGGATCCGCAAGGAGCCCAGTGTGGCTGGCACAGGGACGGAGGCGGGGTGCGACGCCCCCAAGTTAGAGAGGAGGCCAGGCGCAGGGCTGTTTGTGGAGCTTTCCAAGCCACAGACCGACCTCTGGATGTTATCCTGCCTGGGGCAGAAGCCATCAGAGGTGCTAAGCTGGAGAGGGACAAAACCGGGCTTGTAAAAAGGCTCATTCTGGCTGCCATGTGGCCCCTGGGCGGCTGTGGGGGAAGGGTGGGAGCAGGGAGGCCAGAAAGCAAGAGGGGGCTCAGGGTGGTCGCAAGGGAGCCGTGAGAAGGGTCCGATTCGGCCTGGCCGGTGACAGGATTAGCAGGGGTTGGACCTGGGGTGGGAGCGGGTGGGGGGTGGGCAACAAGTCAAGGCAAGCTTGGCCTAAGCACCTCGGCCACCGAGCCTCCATTTCCTCCCTTCCCCACTTCAGAGAGCTGGGCGGCTCCAGTCCTGAGGCCGCTGGAGCCCCAGAGGTGGCTCAAACGGCTGGAAACTTCTCCGTTCCTGTTTGACTTCTCAGGAGCACAGGAGGCTGCTGATCCTGCCCCCCCTCCCCCACCTTTCTGCTACTTTCCGCTTCCGTGGCTTCTGGGGCTCACAATAAAAACTGAGGAGCCATCTGACACGTGGACATTGAGAGACCGCGCTCTGGCGTGCGAGCTGCGTGCCCAGCCCGTCCCAGGTGTGGACAGGCGAGTAGGCAAGGCCGGGTCCCTGCCCGCGGGCGGTGGTCTTGGGTGTTGGTGGCCGGTAAGACTGACCCGTCCGTGCATGTGGCACGGAATGGAGGCTGATCGGGTGGCAGGGGGACGGGAAGGAGGCGGACGTGGGGACGAGACCAGGCGCTGCAGCTGGCAGACCCCCGACGGCTCGCAGAGGAGGGATGGGTCAGAGGAAACGCGCTCAGTGCGTGTAGCCGCGGGAGTGGCCAGGGAGGTGGTGCGCAGGTCCGGGCGAGGGGCCGGGGCGGCTCTGGAGGATCCGCACAGCCCCAGGGCCGCCTCACTCTTGCTGTGTGCACACTTGCCTGCGAAGGGGCTCCGGGCGTGGGCTCGGCTCCTTCTATGACCTGGGGCTGTGTGTGGGCTCCCACTCTTGTGTGTGGGTCTGTCGGGGCGCCGTGGGGGGTTGGGGGAGGGGCCGGCCGACCTTCGGCTGCACACTCGGCTGCACACTCCGGTGCTCCAGCCGCAACGTCTAAATTTAGGCAAAGGAAGGAATGAAGAAAGGAAGGAAGGAAGCCCTTCGGCTGCCTATGGAGGGGAGCGAGGGGGGAGGCCAGTGCAGGAAAAGGCCTGCCGGGCCCTTCTCACCCCAGCTGCCCTGGATGGGCGTGGGTGCACATGGGCAGTCTCTGGCCGGGATCCCCCCCGACCCCAGCTGGGGGTTTGGCAGGGAGAGAGGATCGATACTGGGCCAGCCGCAGCCGCCCTGGGACGCCTCCCGCCCGTAAGGGGCCGGGGCTGAGCTAGCCGAGCAGGGCGGTCCCCCGGGGGCACTGGGGGGGGGGGCGGTGCACTAATGGGGCAGGAGAATGCGGGCTAGTTCTGTCCCCTCCTCCACCAAGCGGCTGCGGGGCGGGGGGCTGTCCGAGGCGGCAGAGCCGAGAGCTGCAGAAAGTCTGCCCTGCCTGGCTGGGGCACGAGGGACAGGGACACCGGGAGGACAAGAACGGCAGACGTACAGGCCACACGGGCTCCAGGTCAGGAAGTTTTATTGCTGACATGCAGGAAGAGTCCCCATGTAGTACAAAAATATGTCTTTATACAAACTTTTTTGTGACTTTTTCTGTTTTCTTTACAACAGGACCTCTCAGTGTGTGACACCCAGGGAGGGCAGGCCCAGCCTCCTCTCATTTGCTTAGCCACAAACGTAATCAGACGCAGGGGCTGACCTTGGAGGGCCCCGCCTGTCTGAGAAGGCTCTGCAGACCCCCGAGCATATTGCTTTGAAAAGGAGGAGAAAGCCCACCTGTGGAAAGCAGGCCCAGAGGGTCTCGACTGAGACCCTCCCGGGAGGACAGTCACAGGGGCTGGGAGCCCTAGGCCAGACTGCATTTCTACTCCCTTGGGAGACTTCTTTTTGAAATAAATATAGAAAAGAGGACATCCCCCGCCCCCGCAGCACGGCACCCTGGCTCTCAGTGGCTGGCCGCGGATGCCGGCAGAGCTTGGTGCTCAGGGGGACTAAGTGCTGGGCTCAGGCGGGCTCCCGGAGACCCACTGAGGCAGAGGCATGAGGCGCCCAAGTGCTGGGATGGGGGCATGGGGAGGAAGGGGCATGGGCGGCCCTGCTACTGCTGGCAAGAGGTGGCCCCATTTTTTCCAGATGGGGAAACTGAGGCACAAGGAGGTTTGGGAACTTGCCCAAGTCACTCACAGTGAGTCAGCTTTTGGGGAGGGGGCAGCTCACACTCTGGGAAACAAGGTCACACAGGCCTTGGTCACCTCCCCACTGGGGAGCAAGAACAGACAGGAAGGGCCTGAAGGCCCAGGGCTGCCTGGAGGGGAACACTCAGCCTTTCCAGGAGGGCCTGGGGGGATAGGCCAGAGGAGGGGTCTTTGCTTGGCACCGGGCAAGGCCAAGTCCAGTGAGGGAGAGTGGGAGGGAAGGGCATTCTGGTGAGAACAGTGTTTCTGGCAAGACGGGCATCCACTTCAAAATCTCGGCTCAAAAAGGGCAGCAGGGCTGTTCTCAAGCCAGGCAGAGCGCCCCCCCCCCCCCACAGCCCCGATGAAGGGCCCTGGCCAGGGTCTGCTGGGAGAGACCCGACATCCATTATGAGGCAAAAACTGGAGGGGAGATGCCCCCACCGTTCTGTGAACACAGAGGGGTGCGGGGAGCAGCAAGAGGGCATGCGAGCAGGGCCCACCTGTTCACGGTCGGCCCAGCGCTCCCCTCCCCGCCCGACCACCAGGCACCCCTTTCACATCTGTGTCAACGTCACCTCAGTACCACGGTGCGGGGTGCAGAAAGAAACCAGGGTTAATGCGAGGGTACAGCACCTCAGAGAAGCTACTGAGATGGGAGAAAGAGAACCAAGTCTAGAAAGGCCTCCCCATCACCAGAAACAGGAGGGACTGGTGGGCTGGAGGTGGAGGGGCCGCCAGGAAGGGGCTTCTGAGCCTGGGGGCAAGGAGGGGGCCCATCTGTGGGCGGTGGGCTCCCTGCTGTCCAGCCAGGTCGGTGGGGGTGGGGGCAGGGCGTGGCCATGGGCCGAGCCACCTAGAGATGGGAGAGAAATTGGTTTCAGTACAAAAATAAATATATTTGAATTCTGCTTATGATGAGGTGAAGTTTTCCAAAGCTTGGACTGAGGGGCCTGGGGCCAGAAGAGGAGGGACGGACACAGCCTGGGAGGGGGCCTGGGAGGGCCGTGGGGGGTGGGCGTTCATTTTGGGAGCCAGCAGCGAGCTGCGGTTCAGCTTATCTGGGGGGGGGGTGCTGTCCTGGGCGGGCGGCCCCTCCTCCTCCCTCACTCAGTCCAGAGACAGCACGGTTAGAGAGCCAGAGGTAGATTAAAACGTCATGATTAAAAGCAGATTAGTTATCTAGGCTTCTCAGATTAAAAAACCAAACAGTCAAGCGATCATTCCCAAGGTAGCTCCGTGGTACTTCTGCTGACCCCATGTGTGACCTGCGCTGTCCCTGCCCCATCCCCGTTGTCGCAGCCGGTGGGGGGACGGCGCGGGGGGGTGCTTCGGGCCGCTGGCTGGGGGCTGGGGAGAGGTGGCGGGTGGGGCCGGCACCCGGGGCGAGGGGGCTACTTGCGCAGGTAGCGCTGCGCCAGGATGGCCGCGTCCAGGGGGTTCATGGGCTGCGCGTCGTGGCCTAGCCGCCGCACGGGGGGCACGCTGCCGAACTGCCGCTTGGGCACCCAGCTCCGGGCCTCGTGTCCGGAGCTCTTCTCCTCGGCCAGCAGCAGCTGCTGCCGCATGTAGTTCTCGAACTCGTACTGGGAGCACTCCTCTGTCAC